AAAAAAAAAAAAAAAAAAACTGTTTTTGAGTTTTGGGTCCTGATTTTTTTAGTTTATTTTTCGTTGTGTTTAGAAATGAAGTTGTTTTTGTGGTAAGTTATAATGTAAGCATTTCTTTTACTATTTTTCTTTTCTTTGCTTTGGAAAACACAGATGCAGGGAGAAGCAAAGGAAAGAGGCATCAAGGCTTCAAGGTGTAAATAGGAAGCTCTCAGCCATGAATAAGCTGTTGATGGAGGAGAATGATAGACTACAAAAGCAAGTCTCACACTTAGTTTCTGAAAGCAGACAAATTCGCCAACAAGATCCGAACGTAACAAGTCTCGTAAACTCCCCCTTTAGAGATTTAAGATGGGTTCTAAAGAAAAACCAACATTCTTTTTTTCTCTCTTGCTTATTCTCAGAAAGCACTAGCTACAAAAGACACAAGCTGTGAATCAGTGGTGACGAGTGGTCAACAACAACAACAACAACAACACATGAGGCCAAGGGATGCAAGTCCTGCAGGGTGAGTTCACGGGGCCCTATTGTTGTCGTGTCATTTTCTTGATGGGATCACAGTGCATATGTCTTTGTCATTCTTTGTGAATATACTTGTCATGTATGTGTGTTTTATTCCTTTTTTCCAGCCTTTTGTCCATTGCAGAGGAAACTTTAACAGAGTTTCTTTCAAAGGCCACTGGGACTGCGGTTGAGTGGGTCCAGATGCCTGGAATGAAGGTACAATGTTTCTTTGAATTCTTTGTGACTATATGGAATAATTTTTGTTTTGTCATCATGTATGATGAAATTTTAATGTTTGTTGCGGGTAAATTGCTAATGTGACCCTGGGGTTTGGGTTATTTAAGAAAGATTCAGACAAATTTTAAATTGTTAACCTTTATAGGTCTGATTAAGTGTAAGAATTTTCTAAAAATGCCAATTGTGGGGTTTATGGCATTCTTAAGAAAGAAAGGAAAATGTCTGAGATGAAATTAAAGATCAAGGTTGTTTTTGTAAATTGTGAAATCTTCTCTGGCAAATGGAGCTGGAAGAGTCAGTGTTGACAATTCTTCTGGCATTCGTGCAAATAATGGACTAGATCAAAATGGCTCAATTAAATTCTAGTGCTTCTTCTTTAGTGAAGTTTCTAGAAAAATATATCAAACGATGCAACGCACCTTGGGTCACTATGGAAACAGCCTCCTTGTAATTTACAAGGGTAAGGTCTGCGTACAACTGACCCCCCAGACCCCAACCTGTTTGGGAATATACTGGGTATGTTGATGTTGATGTTGATGTGAAATCTTCTCTGGTTTTTCTGCAATTACAATTCGTAAAGAAGTTTTGTTGTTTATCCCTATGGTTTATGGTTTATAAACTTGGTTTGCTTAGATATGCATAGACAGTTTATTGAGTCTTCCTGTGTCAAGTAAACAACGAGCATCTCGAGCAATTTATTTGTCAATTTAATATTTATTTTTGTGCTTATATCTAAAATAGGCTTGCAGATATTGTTTGTGGGAAATGGAATCTTGTTGTGGTTTTAAGAATTTATTTCAATTTGTCTTCTTAGCTAATTGACTTAAAACTGACCCAAGAAATCAAACTAAATCGTGTTCAATTTGTTGAGTCTAAAAACCAAGGTTAATCAATCTTTTGGCAATTAACGTCTAATAATGTATTTTGAGTTGCTGAAATATAGACTTAGACTAGTACCATTTTTAATCAGTCAAATAATTTCGTTTCTTAATTAATTTGGGATTAGCCTGGTCCGGATTCCATTGGAATCATAGCAATTTCTAACAGCTGCACAGGAGTGGCAGCAAGAGCTTGTGGTCTGGTTGGTCTTGAGCCCACGAGGGTATGTTTTACTCCATTTCATTTTCTAAGCTTGTTTTCCTTTATATTATTATATTTTTTTTTTTTTCCTTTGAAGTCAAATTCAAAGTAGAATTGTTTTTTGTCTGACTTGTTCAATTTCAGGTTGCAGAAATCCTCAAGGATCGGACTTCGTGGTTCCGTGACTGCCGAGCTGTAGATGTTGTCAATGTGCTGCCAACTGCCGATGGTGGAACCATAGAACTCTTATACATGCAGGTGATTCCATTGGAGTCGAAAGGAAAAAAATACCCTTATTGACCCTTATACATCCTCAAGTAACGAACTTTTACTGATACAATTTATTGACCCTCACTATTTTCATAATAAAGACGTTTTCTTTGCCAATTGACATTTGTATTATACAAGAAACGTGTGTATGCTTTTTTATTTATTTATTTATTTATTTATTTTTTCAGTTCTATGCGCCAACGACACTGGCCCCTGGTCGTGACTTTTGGCTGTTACGCTATACCTCCGTCACGGAAGATGGTAGTTTAGTGGTATGTGTGAATATTTATTCTATTATTAAGATTATTTACCAGTTCAATTGGTCTTGAAGCATTTTGTTGGCGATCTAATGTGATAATTCAGGTTTGTGAAAGATCTCTTAATAATACGCAAAATGGTCCAAGCATGCCACCTGTGCAGAACTTTGTGAGGGCTGAGATTTTACCAAGTGGTTACTTAATTAGACCTTGTGATGGGGGAGGGTCAATTATCCACATTGTCGATCACATGAATTTGGAGGTAAAAACAATTCTCATGAAAATTTATGAAGACCTTTGATGTGAGTTTTCTTATGATTTATTTTGGTTATTATCTGTAAAATCTCTGTATAATTTTTTTTTTTATTATTTATCGTTATTATTACCAGGCATGGAGTGTTCCTGAAGTACTGCGGCCACTCTACGAGTCTTCAACAATGTTTGCATTAAAGGCCACGATGGCGGTATATTTTGTGTGCTTTTGTCTTTCTCAAATACTTATTAGATAGAGATAAGAGATGGGATAGTGTTGCATTTGGCTCCAGTGAGATGTAGTTTGTCCGAAATAATACTAACTTGATTTTGTAATTAATATACTTTTCGTAACATGAATCCGTCGCTAAATGAATTTACTTTTATCTTTTAGCGACAACTGTGCAAAAGCCATTGGCTAGTTGATTGTGTTTTCTGCATGTGTTATTTTTTATACAAACTCTAGCGACAAGTCAGAAAAGTAACAAACACGACTTTTTTCCTTTTTGTATTGTAACTTTTGCCAAATCTTAGCGACATCCATTTTGTGTTCCGTCGTTACCATTACTTTAGCGACGAACTTCTTTTTTTTTCTTGAAAGGAACAAAAAATGTCGCAATTTTCTAGCTTATGTTGGCTGGGTTTCAAATGTAGTGCCATAACTAACTCTTGGGGTGCAAAGTTTAGTAAAATTTCAATTCTTCATGCCATATCTGAATAAATGAAAAATTGAAAGTGTAATTCGTGGCCGATGCATCAAAATCTCACCGAATTGAGACATATTGGAGTTAAAATTGCAAAACATCACAACTGTTGGACCATCTCCTTTTCATATTTCCAGGACCAAACTGAAATTTACTAGGCCAGTTTCTGCAATTAAGGTTGTAATACTTATCATTTTTGTGTTTCATTTGTTTCCCAATCCAGGCCCTTCGACAACTTAAGCATATAGCTCAGGACATTTCACAGTCTAACGTAGGCAATTGGGGCCGAAGGCCGGCAGCTTTGCGGGCACTTGGCCACCGACTGAGCAGGTTAGGTTATTATATTCTCCTCGTGAGTCAGTTTATTTAGCTACGGTGTGGTGTTTTTGATATATATATATATATATATATTTTTTTTTTTTCAGGGGATTTAATGACGCTCTTAATGGGTTTAACGATGAGGGTTGGTCGTCGATAGGCAATGATGGCGTGGATGATGTGTCAATTCTTGTAAACCCGAATCCCGAAAAATTGGTGGAATTTAACATCTACTTTGGAAATGGTTACACCTCCATTTGCAATTCCGTGTTGTGTGCCAAAGCATCTATGCTTTTACAGGTCACTTTCCTTTCCATGTTTTTGTTTTTACTCTTATGTATGTCTATTCACTCAAACAAGAGAGAGTGTGTGTATGTGTGTGTGTACTTGAGAGAGAGAGAGAGAGAGAGAGAGAGAGAGAGAGAGAGAGAGAGAGAGAGAGAGAGAGAGAGAGAGAGAGAGAGAGAGAGAGAGAGAGAGAGAGTTCAATCAATATTTGACCACACTTTCTCGAAAATGATATATAACATATTTCTGGAAAGAAGAATGGCTAACATCTGCATACTGAGGAATAAATGTATCTCTTAAGCATGCACTTATTGTTAAAAATAAAATAAAAGATCTAATGCTCATCATTAATACGAATGAATTTCTCATTCAATTACTGTGTCTCTTGGCTACAGAATGTTCCTCCACCGATACTATTACGATTTTTGAGGGAGCACAGATCTGAATGGGCAGACAACATTGATCCTTACTCTGCTGCTGCTATTAAAATTGGCCCGTGTAGTTATTTAGGGACTCGAATTTGTAACTTTGGTGGTCAAGTTGTCCTTCCATTGGCTCAAACGATCGAGCATGAGGAGGCAAGCACAAAATAATTGCTCTTACAATTCATTCTGATGGATAGCCTTTTTATCATATCTAACTAAATTTCGAATTTTGGCCTTTATTCAAATATTTTATTTTAGTCTTATCTTACGTTTTGCCACGATTGTTAATAGCTCCTCGAAGTAATTAAGCTGGAAGGCATTAGCAATTTACCTGAAGATGTAATGATGTCAAGGGACATAGTCTTCTTGCAGGTACATGTCTCAATCATACAATATATGTGCATATATGTGAGAAAGAATTGTATTTCTGTTCTCAAGATATAGAATCTCCAAGACTTTGTGCTCTAACCAAAAAGCTTCCTCTGCCCTTAAAGTACCGAAAGGAAGTTTAATTTCAAGCAGGTTTGGTCCTAACGGAAGGTCTTTCCTCATTTTAGGGAATTGTGAAAATGCAATATTTGATTCTAATGGTTTGTTTCCTGTTCAACTTTTAACTTCAGGGATAGAATCGAAAATTACAAAATCATGTAATACTGAGAGACTTGATTCTAATGGGTTTGTTTTCTGTTCAATCTTTTTCTCTCAGGGCTAGTAATGAAAATACCAAAAGTGCAATTATATTTAGTTATGTTGAGCACTTGTGTATATAATCAAATGAATTAAACATGGGGATATTGATATGTTAATACCTCGCGAGATTTGTAATCATTGTGGCTTACCTTGTGAAGTTGCCCTTTTCAATTAAAACAAAATCACAATACTTCTCTTTTGCATCCTGTATTTTATTTTTGTGGTGCCCCTCTGTTCGAATTCTTTCGCAGTTGAGTGGTGGAATGGACGAAAATGCAGTGGGGACAAGTGCTGAACTCATATTTGCTCCGATTGACGCCTCATTTTCCGAGGATGCTCCTCTTTTGCCCTCTGGTTTTCGCATTATTCCTCTCAATTCTGACAAAGTGAGTGCTCATTCTTTTCTTTTCATTTTTTTTCCCGAAAAGAATCAGTTTTCAAAATAATCGCGAGTATCTGCTTTATGTTTAATGTATAGGAAGCCCCAAGTCCAAATCTCACTTTGGATCTTGCAGCAGCACTTGAAACTGGGACAGCTGGCAATAAAACACCCGAAGGCAGCAGCTCCATCACAAGGTCTGTCATGACTATCGCCTTTCAGTTTGCATACGAAAGCCACATGCAAGATAACGTTGTCCAAATGGCCCGACAATATGTGCGGGGCACTATATCATCTGTGCAAAGAGTGGCATTGGCTTTATCTTCGACTCACTTAGGTCCTCATGCCAGTCTTCGGGCCTCGCTTGGGACTCCTGAGGCACATACCTTTTCCCGCTGGATTTGCCAAAGTTACAAGTATGTTATTATATCGGCCTTCGATTGTTGCTGTAGTAGTGAAACATAATTTGAATAATCTTGGATTCTTTTGTTGGTAACGCCCTTGAGGTTATGTTCAATAAGGAAATGGTTCGTCATTTGTTTTCAGTAAAAAATGCAAATTCAGTCACTTAAATAGTAAAACAAATTTTATAACGACTAATCATGGGGAAAAGTTTCAAGTCATGTAACTTATAAACAGTTAAACATCTTAAGTAACTACGAGATGCATGGTTTTCGTCCTGGTCTGGTGACTAAAGATTTGATGAAATAATGGTTTTCATCCTGGTCTGGTGACTAAAGATTTGATGAAATAATGTTCGATAATTAAATGTCATTTCCTGAGAAAGACCCGTGTGCCGTTATCTGTTGTCTGAAAGTGTAACTTAACCGTAAGGTATTCTGTATTTCAAAACAATAAAAAAAAAATTCTGCTTATCAATAGGAGCTTTATGGGGGTTGAGCTTCTCAAGTACGATGGTGAAAGGACCGAATCATCCATCCTTAAAGCTTTATGGCATCATTCGGATGCTGTTTTATGTTGCTCCCTCAAGGTAAAAAAACTTGAAGCACCAATTTTTTTCTTTTTCATTTATAATTTTTTATATCTTGTATTAATATTTTTTTTTTCCCTTTTCATCTTAATAACTGTGCTTGTTGGGTCACAGTTTTTTGGTCCTTGTGTTTATTTGTAATTTTCTGAACTTGTACCAGGAAGTGCCAGTTTTTACGTTTGCAAACCAGGCTGGTCTCGACATGCTCGAGACAACATTAGTTGCACTTCAGGACATATCTCTTGAAAAAATATTTGATGATAATGGGAGGAAAAATCTGAGCGCAGAGCTTCCTCAGATAATGCATCAGGTCAGTCGAAAGCATTTGAAATATTAGAATATGAAAAACATGTCGTTGAGGCTCAATCTAATTCCAGTCGATTATAAATATGTTGGACTACTGACTATTTTTTCCTTAACTTACACTTTACCCAATTGATAATACATGAATATTATAACGTTTGGTTCTCAAAGTTTCTTTTCTCTTCGTGAATTTTCTATTAAGTGTCGCCAACTCATGTAACAACAGGGTTTCGGATCTCTTCACGGTGGCGTGTGTTTGTCGAGCATGAGCCGACCCATCTCCTACGAGAGAGCAGTAGCATGGAAAGTTTTGAATGACAACAATAGCCCCCATTGCTTGTGCTTTATGTTCGTCAATTGGTCGTTTGTTTAAAGTATACTTAATCGTTGATAATCATATCGGAAACTGAAATTGTTTAATGGATTGGAAATGGTTTAAGCACAGAAGGTTTCTGCTGGAAATGTTTGTGTTTTAAGAGAAGGATAATAGTTATTTCAACACTATACAATCAACACTTTTTATTTGGGACGGGATCAGGGACCCCTTGTACATACATAACAACAGATACCCGCTATCTCATAATTAAATTGATCAAAAATTGAATACCAACCATAGAATCAATGTACAGTAAGAGGCAAAAATAGTTGTTGCCCGGTTCGTACATTGACTCGTACGACTCGTAAATGTTGAAAATGATAAATTGTATTTATCCTTACTTTAATTTAATTAATTCATTAAAATACGATAACTGAATTTACTTTCAAGAGCATGTATTAATCTAATTTGTGTATCAATCACGCATATACAAAAATATATCGTCACGACTTTAAGTTTTGCAGTATTACATATCATCTAATTTACAAATTGTCCGTCATCAAGATTCAGTCTCACATCAAAATTATTAACCCCCAAAATTTTCCAAAGATTCACATTGGTTACAGATTTT